GCATGGAGAGCAGCTGCGATCCTTGGAAGATACAATTGTCCACCTATACGGCGGAGAAAGTGCGAGATGTGGGCTACAAGGTGGAGGCACGCGGCACAGTCAATGTCAAGGGTAAAGGTGAGATGGAAACATACTGGCTGGTGGATGGACCCGAAGATTAATGATATTAAAAATTCTATTGTACTATTGTAATTCCTGAAACATATATGAAAAATATTTATATAGCATATATAACGCACTGCACTGCATTAATCCGATTTCTCTTGATTGCATTAAAAGTAGAAAATCTCCTTTTTGGCCGGCGTTTTAATTGATAAGAGGGAGAGGTTTTCTTTAGAATTATTCTATAAACAGCCAGTGTCACTCCTAAGTGCGAATTTCTAGTATTCCCTCTGGGTTCTTTTGCTTTTCAATTATGTATGCAATCTAAAAAAAATGGGGATAAACTGCTAAAAAGATAGACTTGGGAATATAAATAGGTCCGACTACATTCGAGTCTCTTTCTCTCTATAATTTTCTCTCCCTTTAACGATTTGTTTCGCAGTATCCCTTTCTCTTTCTTCTTCGTCTGTTCCGCACTTCACTTTTCTGCCTTCCTCATTGCTTCTCTTTCATTTCTCTCTCTTTCTCCCCATCCATATCTTCATCTGTTTAAGTCTTCTCATTCCTAACTGTTCCTCTCTCGCTCTCGCTTTCCTTCTCTCTCTCTATCTCCGCCTCTTTCTATCTCTATCTCGCTCTCTTTATTTTTCTCTTTCTCCCTCTCTGCCTATCTCTCGTTCCCTTTTTGGCTCTCCCTCTCTCTGCCTCTCTCTTTCTCTCTCTAAATATATATTTCTCATTCTGGCTCTCGCTCTCACTTTTGTCACTCATCTTTCTCTTTTTCTCTCTCTATCTGTATCTCTTTCTATATCTCTCTCTGTCTTTCTCTCCGTCTCTTTTTCTCTCTCTATTAATTTTACTTTCTATCTCTCGCTTACCTCTCGCTCTCTCCCTCTGCCTCTGCCTCTCTCTCTCTCTCTCTCTCTCTCTCTCACTCTCTCTCACTCTCTCTCACTCTCTCTCTCTCTCTCTCTCTCTCTCTTCTTTCTAAATCTAATTTTCTCTATCTCTAAATCTCATTCCATTTCTGTCTCTCTCGCTCACTCTCTCTCTGTATCTATCTCTCTTCGTCCTTCTCTGAATCTCTCCTTCGCTCGGTGTCCGCGTATATCTTTCTATCTATCTGGTTTTTTTTAATGAGAGAACCTCAATTAGATGTCAATCTTATTGGAATACATACGTAATACAAGCTTGCATAAGTAGCTTTTTTACAGAGAGAACTCGTTGTCATCTTTCCACACAGCTTGGTTCTGATGCTTTGATGAGCTCGATTGTTATCGTTAAGTGCCATAAAACGTAATGCCCTGACGTCCGTTTCCATAACGTTGCCGCAAAGTACTGTCGGTTATCCGTATTCTTTGGCATGCCATACCAATCAAAAAAGTATTATAATACTCGTTCGCAACGCAAAGAAAGAGTATATGGGATATTTGCTATATCCGCCTGTTAGAGAGGTTTCTTATCTACATAGCAATAATTAATATCTTTCTCTTTGTGGGCCTTGAGCGAGTATAAGGCAATCGAAAGCAACCGCCTGCAACGTGCTTACTCGTTTTTAATAACTTTTATGAGCTGTTCGCGTGTTAAAGTGTGTGCATAGACACGGCCCCTAAGCCATCATAAGATACTTTTGTATAGCATACTTTTTGGCGTACTCAAGTGGCAATTGTAAGCAGTTTCCCCTGTCTGTTCATATAATTAAATTAAGTCGTTCTGCGTGACCGAAATGGGACCTAAATATTTCACGTAACACTCGAGCTTAGTAAGCCAATTAATTGCGAGTTTCGATAGTTCCGAACAGCCTTCCTCGCGTGTAGATCATAATATTTCACATAGGGTTGATGTATTCTAACATAATTCATTGTTGTCCTTCCTTAATGACATTCTGAATGGCTTTTAAATGTTCTCAAATGTTCACAATTCTTGTTTTTGTTCTGCTAAATATAACGTATAACTCGAATCGCTTAAAGTCCCATCTATACATATCAGAAACATCAGCCAGGCCATAAAATTGTCAAGTGGACCCAAATCCTTTATTTTTTGCTATTTGGTTTATCCGAAAATCCAAAAATCTGACTTAAATTGCTTTAAAACATAATATTTAATGCGTAAAGACAACGAACTCACACACACACAGCCACCCACCCACACATAGAGACATTTTTCTGTATTTTATAGGTATGCGTGAAAACGTCGGAACATTAAATACAGCAGCAGCAGTGGGACGCAAACCGAGTCCATGCAGGGTAAAGGCAAAGGCTACAAAAATGATACATTTCATGAACTGTGAGAAAGCAGACAAATAGACCAGGGCTGCACGAAAATAACCAACTGGCGTTAGTATTAATTATCTAATTCATATGAAGACTTCAAGGATCTTAAAGAAAATTCCAGTATATACCTGATCCGAAAACAACTGGAAATTATTTAGCTACATTTTTATTTACTTTTACTGTTTTCACAAATCAATTTCCTGCTCTATCAATGATTAAATTACTATAATATAATAATATACCGCAACACACACAGAGCTACTGTTCTGTGCGGCGTGGCTCTGTGTGTGTCCGTCCCTATTGTAACACTTAAATGTAACGGAACAAGAGCCATAGGACAATATTTCCTAGAAAACGCCAAGAGCGCGTAAGCACGTAATGACAAAGGACGAAGGAATAAACTTGCTTTCCTTGGATGCTTTATCGAAAAGCGACCGCCAATTGGCATCAAACCCCACGGGGGACCGAGAGGGGCAGAGCACATTGACATGAAATGAAACACTAACGATGATGATGGAGGCAGGAGCTGTGTTGTGCGTGTCTATACTGAGAGTGAGGGAGGAGGAGTAAGAGAGAGAGAAAGAGAGAGAGATAGAGAGAGAAAGATAGCGAGCTGGGCCAAGGGGAGGGCAGACAGCGAGCGAGTGAAAGTCACAAACACCACACAAATGGGAAAAAGGCGTAAAGTGCGTGGAAATGTGGAGTCGACTATAAAAGACCTGGACGTCAACGAAACACGCTCCAGTCGCACGACGCGGTGCGAACACTGCGAAACGCTGTCCGAAGCGAAACACGAGGCGATTGCCAACGAAGTTTATAAGGCAAGGCAGCGCGTATGAAGCATAAGTCGAAGCATCGCCGTTAAATACGGCGAGGCAACAACAACAAATTAGTTCAATAGCAGCAGCCGACAGCGACAGACTGTGAGTCTACAGCTAAGTGTTAAACAACGGAAAACTGCGACAAATCCGGGCAAATCTCTGTGCGTGCTTATTGGTGTGTGTGTGCGCGCGTAAAGCATATGCTCTTTTCGGCTAACTGTAAATTATAAATAAACAATGCGCATAGTTGGCCGCTGATAAATTTAAAGCTAAAGAGCAACGAAACCGTGCACCAAAATACATATTACAAGAGAATATCATTTGGACTTGCATATCTGACGACCTCCGCATAATGTAAGCAAATTTTCGTGTGCGTAATAAACGGGCAATAAATATGTTAATTTGAATGTTAAGTAGCCAAGCAGGATTATCCGATGCTTAAAATAACCACAAATTGAGTGGCCTTTGATAAGTCAAGCCTTTTGGGAACTTTGAAGATGAGATAAGATGTGATTAGCATAAGCTTAAACACATGAATCGGTAGGCAAAATAGATATTTATAAATTATTAAAAAGAAAAGAAGTTTACCTATTTCAAACTTAAAAAATGGATTTTTAAATTTTAATTTAATATGCAAAATATCATTAACTTTAAAACTTTTGTTCAACTGAAAAAATTTCCAAATCTTAATTGAAACTTTTTTGCTTTAATTTATAAACTTGTTTTGTATATTGTATATTGTTTAGATTCAAGGTTCAAGTCCATTAGTTAATAGTAATAAAAATAATTATTAGATCTTACGGAATTTTTAGACCAGTAATAGTAAAAATATGTATTATTTTAATTAATAAACTGAACTTTAACAAAATATGTCAGTTAAAGTTGAGCATTGTAATTTTGACTTCAGCGAAAAAGCGTTTAATTTTTTTCAGTTCATTAAAAGGTTTTCCTAATTAATTATTTAATCAAATTGGCTAGACTTTACTCCGTGTGTATAAATTTATTATGGAAATTGATGGAATTATCCACGCCATATAAAATTCTTAAATGAGTTTTCGGTTAGTTGGTGGCGTTTGAAATTTATTATGCCAGCCATATTAAATTCGCGCAAAATTTATGGGTTCCCAGTTAGTTTGACAAATGTTTTACAAGGGCAAATTGAAAAATAAAAGAACACAAAAAACGGAATTAAGTTAAGAACAACACAGCGAGCGGCTGTTGTTATGTTGTGAACGTGACAAGCGATAGGACGTGGCTGTCCTGGAAGGAGGGCAAATGGGGGCCAGAAGCAGGCGCGCGTAAAAGTAAAACCAAATTAAACTGCCAGAGCAATAAATCAAAAGATATTTTTTACTTGGGAGGAAGCCTCTTAACTTTTTGTGCATGTGCTACGAAAGATATACTTGGCTGGCTTTCTGTGGGTCCTTAGGTATGTTGTGGTCTCTGATGCATATGTGACATTTGTCAAATCCTTAACTCAATTTTATGCTTGACAGCGGAACTTTAACGGGTTGAGCACTCAGCGTAAAATGTAGAAATAATCAACTAAATCTTCCATCAATCACTCACCTATAAAACGGTGCTATATCAGCCTGATTGATGGGCCACTTAGATATTTTCAAAAATAAAATAAATAATTATGCTAAGAAGGTTGTCTTCAGCAGGATTCTAAAATCACAAAGCCAATGTAAAGCTATTTCTCAATCATTAACTTACTTTAATAGCAAACCTACTTGATTTTCAGAATAAACAAAATTGGATAACTTAAATATAATTAGCAACTTAGTCTACTCTCTATCGTTTACTTGACCTTTGGTAATCCCCGGCAAATTGACTAAAGTTTATTGTGCTTTGAGTAATGGAAAAACTTTGTAATAGTCTACCCTAATTATGCGCTTACAAACTTCCCTCGTTGCAGATAAAGTTGACGCGCGTAAATTGCTTAAGCGCAGAGGCTCACCTGACCCACACCTGACACAGCCGCCCACCAAGCTCTCCCTCCCCCAAGGTGTGACACGGCCAGCAAGATGTATGGCATGCTATATGAGAGCGTGCAGCACTATATACAGGAGGAGTATGGGATAGAGACGTGGAAGAAGATATGCCAGATAGTCGACTGCAAGCACAACACATTTAAGACTCATCAGATATATCCGGACAAGCTGATGCCGGATATTGCGGCTGCCCTGTCCGCCTGTACGGGCGAGTCCTTTGACTTTTGCATGAATTTCTTCGGGAAGTGTTTCGTGCGATTCTTCAGCAATTTTGGCTATGACAAGATGATACGTTCGACGGGTCGATACTTTTGCGATTTCCTGCAGTCCATCGATAATATACACCTGCAGATGAGATTCACATATCCGAAGATGAAGTCGCCCAGTATGCAGCTAACCAATATGGATGATAATGGAGCGGTCATATTATATCGCAGTGGACGCACAGGGATGTCCAAGTATCTCATCGGACAGATGACGGAGGTGGCCAAGGAGTTCTATGGCCTGGAAATGACAGCCTATGTAATAGAAAGCCAAAACGATATAAGTGGTGGGACAGCAGGACCAATCAAGCTGTCGGATGGTCCATTGACGGTTATAGTAAAGTATCGTCTGGACTTTGATAACCGCGACTATATGGCGAAACGTGTCAACATTGTCGCCCATCCTACCCAGCTTATGATGCCCCATGTGGACTTGAATGTTTTCCTTGAGCTGTTTCCATTCACTATTGTTTTGAATCATGATATGAAGATCACTTTAGCTGGCGAGAAGATAATTGAGACGTGGATATTGCATAATCCGGGTGTTAATCCAAAAAGCTTTATTGGCACCCATGTCATGGATGTGTTCAAGTGCCGTCGGCCAAAGGACACGAAAATCGACTGGACCACCATTTTACAGATGCGAACAGTTCTCTTCGAGATGGAGCTGATTCGCACCGGGCACAATCGGGCTGCATACGATAAGGCCCTTACAATGGACTATGAGAACCTCGATGAATTGAGCTTAAACGAGGCCCAGACTATGGCATTAGCTAAAGCCGATGAGTTTGAGAAGGAGCAAGTGAAAGAGCAAGCAGAAGCGGCAGCTTCCAAGGAGGAAATCGATCCAGCCACAGGACAGCGCAGGCCGTCCGTGGGTCTGCGTTCTATTCTCCTCAAAGGACAGATGTTCTATATCAAGGATGTTGACTCGCTGATCTTTCTTTGCAGTCCCCTGATAGAGAATCTGGATGAGCTGCATAGTATTGGTCTGTACCTGAATGATCTCAACCCGCATGGTCTGAGCCGTGAGCTTGTTATGGCGGGCTGGCAGCATTGCTCCAAGCTGGAAATTATGTTTGAAAAAGAAGAGCAGCGATCTGATGAACTGGAAAAGTCGTTGGAGTTAGCTGATTCCTGGAAGAGGCAGGGAGATGAACTTCTCTACTCCATGATACCGCGACCCATTGCGGAACGCATGCGCATGGGCCAAGAGCATGTCTGCCAGAGCTTTGAAGAGGTTTCCGTAATTTTCATTGAAGTGATGAACATCTACGATAGCGGATCAACAAATGTTCAGGAAGCAATGCAAGCAGTCAACACCTTAAACAAAGTTTTCTCTGCGCTCGACGAGGAGATCATATCACCCTTCGTCTATAAGGTGGAAACTGTGGGCATGGTCTATATGGCTGTGTCTGGAGCCCCTGATATTAATCCACTCCATGCCCAGCATGCCTGCGACCTGGCGTTGCGCGTCATCAAGAAAGTGAAAGCCCACAATCTGCCGGATGTGGCTATTCGAGTGGGCATCAACTCTGGGCCGGTGGTGGCGGGTGTTGTGGGCATGAAGGTGCCGAGGTACTGCCTCTTTGGCGACACTGTGAACACGGCCTCACGCATGGAGAGCAGCTGCGATCCTTGGAAGATACAACTATCTAACTATACGGCCATGAAAGTGCGTGAGGTGGGGTACAAGGTGGAGGCACGCGGCTTCGTAAAAGTCAAGGGCAAGGGCGATATGGAAACCTATTGGTTGCTCGAGGGACCAGAATAATTATAAATGTATTATTTAAATTTTGTAGTCAATAAAAGTCGATATTTGTGGAAACCTGAACTTTGCTAACAAATACATATATTGTGTTAATAAAGTGTTTGAATACTCGAAATGTACGATAACGATATATCAATTATCGTCGACAGATCTGTCAAGCTAGCAACTCGATGGAAAATTAAGTCGATAAATGACCTCTCGTCTTCCCTTCACTTTTTGCTTTTGAACGTCGTGAAGTAAAGATAAGTTGCATTTTATCTCCATTAATTGGATTAGACAGACACGATGCTTAAATATAATTTAATTGTTGCAGTATGCGAAAACTTTGGCATTGGTTTCAAGGGCGATCTGCCCTGGCGTCTAAAGTAAGTCAAAAAACATGCGCATTACAAGATTTGTTTAATATTTTGTATGCTTGCGGTCACACAGATCCGAGCTTATGTATTTCAGTCGCACAACAAAGCGCGTTAGTGATCCCTCCAAGCGCAATGTCGTCATCATGGGGAAGAAGACTTATTTGGGTGTGCCGCCCACTAAGCGTCCGCTGGCTGATCGTCTGAACATTGTTCTAAGCACTACAATGACCCAAAAAGAGCTGCCAGAGAATGTCTTGTTGTGCCGCAGCTTAGACGAGGCCATGCAAACTTTAGAGAGCAAACCCTGGTGCAAACAACTAGAGAACATTTGGATTGTAGGCGGCAGCGGGGTATATGCGGAAGCAATGGAATCGCCCCGTTGTCATCGTCTTTATCTAACCAAAATCCAAGAGCGATTCGAATGTGATACATTCTTTCCAAATATACCGGTGAGCTTTCAGGAAGTGCCACTCGATGAATACACTCCACATGGCGTACAAGAGGAGAACGGCATTAAATACGAGCACAAGATATTGGAAAAACATTAATATATAAAATAGAAAGAAAAACAACAAACATTTATTTATTACTGCCCCTCACATCATCTGCTGTTATCGTATCGCCATGAAGTGCCTTGGCAGCCAGCATCAGCTCGTACAGCTGGACCACTTGATCGTCTTTTAGCATTTCCACTGACTGTGTGTCCAGTTGCTCCCCTAATTCACCCTTTGGTTTGCCGCGCAGTCCCAGCTGTTTTGTGATTGTGGAAGCATAGCGCTAGAAAGAGAGTCCATGATCAAAAATAGTTAAATCCTCTTACGTAAATCTCTTACAGCCCACTCAGTCATAAACAGTTGTGCCTCCATTGGATTGCATTTGAGATGCCGCCTAAACTCATCGCGTACGTAGTTATCCCCCAAAGCACGCAGCTCGGTGGGTAGGCCTTGAATTTAAATATGGTTTCATATGAAGTAAAAAGTTGTTTATTAATTTAGTGTTTGTTGTGTTTTACTTGCCTCGATGTAGCCTCAATATTGTTTTGTACAGCAAACGCACACGCTGTGGGTGAGTCAATTGACTCATTATGTTTTTCGACATGGTGTTTCTTTTATAATTGTACCTGAATATATATAATTAAAGTGTTTTCGGTAAAATGCAAATCAAAAAATATAAAAACAACTGTCAGCGCCAGGCCAACCAAGCCCAGGGGTGCGCAAACTTTAAAAAACTATCGATATACGTCTAAGATATATTACCGATTTACGATAATGATCAAATTTCTGTTCATAGACCTTTTTCATATAATTCCTAACTACGCATGGTTTGCAAATTAGTATATTGTATATATTGGCGCTTCATATCTGCTTCAATTATCATAACCAATTATAAGTAAGCGTATACAAAGAAGTTGGTAGCCCTCTTAAAGCCAGCAATTTCGTGTATTTGAATTTAACAGCAGTTTTTGTTAGATTGGCATGTCCAATCCGCGCGTCCCTTGCAAAAAGAATTCCTGTACAGAAAACCGGGCTGTTTGTGCATAAGAAAAATACATAATAAAGTGCGTAAAGACTTTTATTTAAGAGAAAAAGTATTCTATTATTGCTGTGCATACATATGTTTTAATATTTGCTGTGTTTATATGGGTGCTGCAAAATTGTAGCTTTACTTGTCGCTTGCGGCTTCCTTTTTTTTCTCTGTCTTTGACTTCTGCACCAAGCGAAAGTTGCAGCCGCCGCCGACACCAACAACAGCGACGACGCTCACACTGCCGCCCACAAGCATAGAATTTTTTTAGCAGCTGCATTTGCAATTAGTTGATTGCTAAATGTATAATGTCGCTAGATGGCGCGCAATTGAATCATGTGAATGCAGATGGCATTTTAGTAGCATACCCAGCCAAAGGACGTAAGTTCAATGTGGGCTCCTTTTTGGATTCCGATTTAATACTGTCAGATGCCGAGCGCATTCACTGCGAGATACAATGCGATGCCTTTGGCAGGGTGAGTACTGTTTGTGTATATATGTGTGTGTAAAAAAAATGCGCGCGTATCGATTTGGCAGGGCATTTAGTAAACAATATTAATAATTGTTATATCTAGGTAACCGTCTACAATCATTCAGTCAACGAGCCCATTCTGCTGAACGATCAGATTGTGCCGGCGAAATCCAAGCGTCCATTGGTGCATGGCGCAAGCATTAAAATACTGAATGAATTGTATACATGGCATTTTCCCAAGATCGAAGAGCCAGCCAATACACCGGACCGACCGCCTCAGGAACAAGCGGCCAATTCGTCGCCAAGTTTAAAAGTAAGTTTAATGTCATAGCTTGGTACAATTAAATAGACGCTTTACAAATTGTCTTCGGTACATTTTACAGACTCGTCGACCACGTCGTCAATTTGAGACCCGTTTTACCGTGCACAAGTAAGTAAAAGCAAGTAGCATGAAACAGGCAGGCAGCAAACGAGCAAGTCAGAAAAAAGGGACAAACCCAAATTTAACCCCTAAATGCGCAGGCATATGGTCTGAAAATGTATCAAGAACTCAATACAGAATCAAGAAACAGCAACACAATCAAGAATTCAAGAAATACCAAGCAATTCTGAATTGTAATACATTGTGATATTATTATAATGTGCAAAAAGTTGTTTATATCTACATATATACATTTAAAATACAGCAATTTCACAAGATAAGAAAAAATAAAACCGATCACAATTTATACGTTTTTCTCATTGTACGTTTAAAACAAACTATTAATATTATGTTAAGAAAGCTAAAAATATTTGTCTATTTACAAATTCTTGTGTTTTAGACTTAGGACTTTTTTTAATTTCAAATCTTACATATTCTATGTTCTATTAATTCATGTTATATTTATATAATTGAAATATCGCTAACAGGTTTTTAAAAGATTTAGTATGTTTTATATTCAAGCTGATAGAAATCTCGAAAAATCATTTGTTTTTATTCATTATTATAAAACTTTGTTGATTAATTTTAATTAATTCTTGAAAACCTTAATTAAATGCTGATATGTAGACATTATGAATAGGACACTAGTGTTGACATATTTGCTATATGAATGTCTAATGTTAAATGACATCATATTACAGCTTTCGATATTCAATAAATTCGGACGATGAAGGCAACACATCGATTGAATCACCCCAACTGGATAACAGCACAAGCAGCACAGCAGAAGCAGAGCCAGCAGCTGAACCAGAACCGGAACGCTGCATTACACCGCCAGCCAAAGAACTGGACGATGCAATGCCCAAAGTTGATTTGGTGAAGGAAACACAGAACAAGGAAAACACCAGCACACCCTGCAACAAACTAATTCTTGAGTTGTGTGAACGCTCCGATGTTGTCATCACATCCTTTTCACCACGTGAAACGGGCGTTAAGACTGAGCACTCCTTTACGCGCGTCATGAGACCCAGCACAGGATTCGGAGTCGGAATGCTGTCGAAGAGCGCTTACAATACGCCGAAGAATGTGCTCGCCGAACAGAACGAGGACAGCTGCAGTCGCGATTTAATGGATTGCAGTACACCGTCCACTTCGAAGAAGGCTCTGGCTGGCAAACGACAATCTTCCATGTTTTTAATTGATTATACAACGCCGCAACGATTGCGGCCCACATTATCAGCTACACCCAAACAGACGCCCGCCAGTGCTGGCATCATCAGTGTCGCCTCCACAGATGAATCGTCCGACTCACCGATGGTCATAGACTTAATTAACTTGTCCACGCCCTCAACATCATCAGCAACGACATCTAAGCAACAACAACAGTCACGTCTGACAGCCAAGACACCTAAGGAACAGAAGTTGGCGGCCAACTCGACGCCCAAGCGTACGCCACAATCGCTGATGAAACGTGCACTGCTGACCAGTGCCAAAAAACAATTGCCTGAAGCAACTAGGAGCAAACAAACGACGCCCGTCCGTCAGTCGCTGCTCGATGCACGTCGTCAGTGCTTAACTGCGCCACGACGATTGCCCTTCCATCCGCAACCGCAATGGCGCACACTGGGACGTCGCCAAATGCCCACTATTCCACCCAAGGCACCGCTGACATCGCCACGGAAACGCCAATCTTCCATATGTTTGAGTAGCCCGCGCGATAACAAAATTTCTAAACTGCGCAAATCGCTGGCCGCCGCCGCCAAGGTAAGTCCAAGCGTGGGCATGAGCAACAAGCTGGTGGCAAAGGCGCGACGTGCTCTCAACTCACCTAAACAGAATTCACCGCAACGTATCGCATCGCCCAAAGTGGATAGAGCGCAGGAAGAACCCAACGAACCTGATCTTGAACAGAATTTGTCTTCTGAGCTGAGCCGCACGTTCACCTTATATTCCGATGATGACAATGTATCTTCAGCATCAGCTTTGGAAGCAATGGCTGGCTTAATAAATGATAAAGAAGGTGAAATGCCTTCCCTCGAACGCAGCAAGCGGTCATCACTGGATGAAGCTCAGCCGAATGGCACAGCACAAATAGAACTGAATGAGGGCAACACAAAATTTGAGTCTAAAACCGATTCTGAAGTTGATGAGATTCGTGCGGCTCAAGAAGGCAATGAAAAGCAAACCTTCGATGAACATTTTTCAGAGGAATCAAAGAATGTTAGCAAGGTTAATGAATCTCCGAAAGCAGCGCCGCAGTTAACGGCAACGGATACAAATGAGGCTCTAGTTAATAATGATATTATTGAAGATGCACCCACCGTTGAGAAAATTGAACTACAAGAAACGGGTTCAGAATTCTCAAAGGACTCAGCTGCATTTGATATTATTGAAGATAACATCTGCGAGGAAGTGGCGACAACAACCACATATCAAGAAGGTGAACTGGTAGATAAAAAATATTAAATAAAATTCAAATTTATAAATAATTTTAGCTAAAGCCGATGATAGCTTAGCTGCGGACCCCATTTGCGAGGAAGTCTTCACAAGCGCGCAGAATGACTTAGCTGAGGACTCTATCTGCGAGGAGCTATCCATCAGCGCGCAGAATATCTCAAAAGCTGATGGTAAGAACTTGTTCAAAAAAATTCAGAAATAAAAATTAGAGTACAGGATAGCTCTTATGAGTTACTAACTCACACTTTTCTCAAATATCTAATAACCTTCTGTCAAACCAAATTTTAATTACAATTAACTTCACAATATGGGAAAAAGTACTTATTTATAACTTACTGCGATTAACTAAAAAAAATTTAATAAAATATAATAAAAATATTTATATTTATTATAGTTCCCACTGAGAATCGAGAAGATGATGTGGATCAGCTAGCACAGCGAAGCCAAACTCCATCAACAAAGCGCATCTCGCGACGGTCTTCAATGGAAGCAAGTGCAGTCGCAGTAACGCCCAGACGCAGCGTACGCCGAGCATCCATTGAGGCCAGTCATAAGCTGGAGGAGCAGTACACCAAACCAACGCGCCGTGCCTCATGTTCTGCGGCCTTTGAAAACGAAGTTAGTAGCCTGGCCATAGACACTCCCAAACGTAAGCGACGCCTTACTGAGGAGTTGTCGACGCCCTCGCGCAAATCGCTCCGTCTTCTAAGCAATACACCAAAGGGAGCACCGACAGTGGATGAATCTGTGGGAGACATGGGCGTTATAGTTGAAGAGGAGGATGCGTTGCAGCTAGAAGGTGAGCAGCCGAATGCAAACAATTACTTCATATTTATCGTAAACAAATTTATGACAGCTAATAAATTGCCAGCGGATGAGGATTATGGCAATGAGTTGCCAACTGAAGCGATTGATGACCCGGACAGAATTGATTACCATGGCATGCGCGAGCTGTTAAAGACACCCAAGAGCTGCAGCACTCCTCATTTTAAGGGACTGCGCGAAATGATGCGCACGCCCAAGATACCAGCATCGCCTATGCTGGAACACATTGAGGAGTTGTTGGAAGGTGATTCAAATGATGCGGGTGCTACGCCCAAACGTCAAGTAACCATCAGCCGTCTGAGCCTGGAGCTAACACAAGCTGAACCGCAGGACTTGTACTTTAAGACGCCGAGTGGAAAGGATCTAATGATACCAAATGACCCGGCTAGCGCGGTGCTAAACTCGCGCGAGGGTTCAGAGGTCGCCACCACCGAATATAATTTGAATGCAACAAACGCAACGCCACACTTTGACAAGATCTTTGATGATATGCTGACTGCGGAGACAACAAATCCCGTCGAGCGCTCTGAAATCGAGATAAATGTGACTACCGTTAGCACAGACAATGCGACCGTGTCCAATCCTTTGGACACGTCTGTAGAGACGAATGATACAGTCCACTCCGAGGCGCTAATGACAATTGACGATATAGAGGGTAGTCATCGAGATCCCCTTACAAGCACAACATTTAAACCTGGAGCTCAAACTGATGTCAATGTTCGTAATTCGCTTACAGCTAAATCTCCTAACATTTGCGAAGTGAGTGGCATACAGCTACTCGATCAGACATCTGACTCCATGTTCTCGGAGCCATTGATTGTCACAGGCGTGGACTCACGCGACGTCACATTGGAGGAAACAAAGGCCACAGGGTACGCAAATGCATGCACATCCAGAAAGAGCATTATAGAGGAGAGCTCTGATACAGATTCGATGATGGGTTTAGCTGAACCTTTAGTAGTGAGCGACGATGAAGATGACACAGATGTTATTGCAAATAAACCAAACGCAAACGCATCCGTTGTTCAAGTAGAAAACACTCAACTTGAACAGGCATCTTTCATTTTAGCTGACAGCTCTCCTGAATGCACAATTGACAAAGAATTGTCAACACAACTTGAAGTATCCAATCAAACTATATCCAAAATTGACTTACATGAAACTAGCGTAGATGCAACCTTTGATGTATCTAATGATAAAAGAAAGTCTACGATTTATGCTCTGAATGTCAGTCAAGTTCAAAATAACCAAAATCTGACTACTGCGAATGAATCTTTCTTAAACGATCTGAGAAAAGAACAAAATGAGTCCACAACTAATGAATCTTTAAGTGAAGTTCTAGACGTAGATGAAGAAGTATCATTTGTTGAACTAGATGCTTCAAATAAAGTTACGGATAAACATAAAAACAAGAATCTGGAGCAGCTAGATAAAAATGTGGAATCTGTAGCAACTTCTGTCAAGGAATTACCAATCGCCACAAATAAAATCAAAGAAGTTCTTGACTGTCAAGTATCCAGCGAAGAAAGTATTGAATTTGAACAAGATCAAATTCCAGCAACTTTATTAAATACAGCTAAAGAATGTTTAGGCAATGACTATAAAAATGATGCAGCAACATTAGATAAAGAATGCACGGTGCAATTGCAAGTCACAAATGAGAAGGACAACGTTCTAGAAGCAACAACTTCACATCTTGAATTAATAGACGCCAAGGACTCCACTTTAAATACCTCAGATAAAGAAAATCTGAATGTAAAAATGGAAGAAATTACATCAAAGTGTGGAGATGAAATAGAAATGATGAAAACTGCAACATCAGAAGACGCGGAAAGTCAGGATTCTCATCTAGAGGACTCAATAATTGATCTGGATCTGTCTGAGCTTGCCGAAACTGACGTTGCAGACAAACAACTTTCAGAAAACATAAAAACGTCGCATACTGAAATGAAGAACACTGCAACAAATGTAGACACAGTTGAGAGCCATAATTCTAATGTAAACGAATCGATAATTGCACTTGATGATTCTGTGGTAACAGAAATTGATAAGGATGAGCAATTAGCGGAGCAATTACCAGAAAATGTAATTAAGAAAACTGAAACAACTGAAGACGCAGTTAAGAGTCAGGACTCCAATGTAAACGAATCGGTAATTGCACTTGATGATTCTGTGCTAACAGAAATTGATAAAGATGAGCAATTAGCGCCTACTGGAAGCGAGATTCGAGCAACTGCTGAAGACACAGTTAATGCTCAGGATACTAATCTAGAAAATCCAATAATTGAACTGGATGCCTTTGTGCTGGCAGAAGATAACGTTGAAGAGGGTCAAATAGATGAACATCCTATCGAAACAAGTACAACACTACCTATTGAGAAGCCAGATACACATGCAACTGAAGCTGAAAGTCTACCACCTAATGAATCGCCGGTAAAAATCAATGACTCTGATGTAGTTGAAAAAAATACAAGTTCAACGGTAATCTTTGGAGAAGAGGAACCGTCGATGATAACTACATCTACATCCAAGTCTGTTGCAGAAGAAGAAACAAACGAGGCTAGCCCAAAACCTGCCGAATCTACCAAAAATGAATCTGTGCTTGGCCTTGAATCGGCTTGCGAAACTGAGCTGGATCAAACGCCAGCGCTTGACAACAATGCCTCCGAGTCAGAAATGAATACAGAGGAAGCTGCTTGTCAAAATATTCTTGAAGATAATACCACAAATCAGAATGAGTCGCTAATAGAGCATAATGATAAAAATCAAAGTGAACTCTGTACATCCTCTGATGATATCCTGCCCCAATCTTCAGGGGAATCTTCAGTGGACGCAAATACCTCTATTGATAAAAATATAAATGCATCGCTGATTCAAATAGATGCATCTGTGGCAGACAATAATGGAAAGCGTGTCACTGAACCGTCTGCTGAAATCGCATCAGAACCATCAGAAGACATAAAACCACCAACTACTGCATCTATGGAAAGCGATAAGGAAAAGCAACATACCAATGAAGCGGTCGCTATATTAACATCACCTCAAAACGATGATGGATCGAATGTATCTCTTGTAGCAGAAGATGAAAAAACTTTGGATGAATCTGTAATTGTGGCATCTATAAAATCGACTATAGATATAGAAGCAAATGAAGAAGAAAATGAAGATACAGAAAAAACTTTGGATGAACCTGTAATTATAGCATCTATAAAATTGACTATAGATAAAAACGAAATTGAAAAGCATGTGGAAGGTGAAAACATAGCTACGGATGTAGATAAGTCTTTGACTGAACCGAATACATCAGTTGTGACTGAAGCGCGTAATCTAGAAGTACAAAATAAAGATCTAATAGATCCTATTATTCCAGTCACTGATGAAGCTGCTGTTAAATTGAAGGATGCAATTGTAACAGATACTCAAATTCCATTATCGACAACAGAATCATTAAATGAAATAACTATAATAAACAGTGATATTTCATTGGTAAATTCTGAGATGGAAACCGAGAAATCAATTGAAATATCCATAAATGAAAAGCAGACGATGGAAGAAAATGCAAGCTGCGTTAAATCAGATGAGGAGGAAAGCCCAGCCATTGAAAATTCATCAGTCACAACCCAGGACAAAAATGAAACTCGAGATACGCTTTTGGATGCTTCAACAGCGAATCAGTCAGATCTTCAAAAATCAGATGAAGTCTCAAAAGACGTAACATCTCGAAGTGAAGACGAGAATGTAGTTAAAGTGAATATTCCTGTGATAACTGAGGAAAATGAAAACGTGGACGCAAAATCAAACCCAGTTTCAGAACTCGCAGGTCTGGCTGAGGTGTCAACTACACACTCGGATGTTCCAGCGGATCTTTTAGAAGAAGAAGGCGAAGACAAAAAGTCAAGCCCTATTTCAGAAACCGTAGCACACACCGAGGAAGCAAATATCAGCACTATCGAACGAGCACATAGTGAAGCTAAGCCTTACGATAGAGAAACTGTAACTTTGTTAGAGGAGCCAAGTATTCAGGCTGACCTCAGTAATAAAATCCATACGGAAAATGAATCTACAAACGCTAATGAGTCAACTGTGGAAGCTGAAAATGATGAAACTGAACCTTCAAAAGGTACAGAAGAGTCCGTTGAAAAACCAGAAATACAAATTGATGAGCTTCAGGCAGTAATTGATGTAGATGCCAACTGCGTGTCTGAGAATGATCTTGAATTTGTAGCGAATGAAAATGCAATTTTACTAATAGATGCAAAAGAACAGATTGCAGATTTGTCAACTAATCCTGAAGAGCCCTTAACCAGCGCAGAACTGCATGTACAGAATGCATCACGTGCAGATAAAATGGATAATCAACAGCAGAATGAGAAAACAGAAAATGAGCAAACGGAATATAAGAATCCTCTGGAAACTGACGAAGCGGCGAATTCAATTTCGTCCCAGGACGAAAGCCAAGGAACGGAAGATGAGAATGAAGCTGACAAAGTAGCTACAGCTGCTCTTCCAACTGAAATAGAGGCAGTAATTGAATTGGATGATTCTACGATTGACTCTAACTCTATAACTGATCCCAGCTCATCTGAAATTCAATCCACAGAAGAAGTGCCGGTGATAGAACTAGACGATACTACTGCAGATTCTAGTTCTATTGGAGATGATGGCGTAATTGAGCTGAACGATTCCACCACAGATTCTAACTCGCAGACAGAAAAGCAAAATGAGGACACAAATGACGGTCTATTACCGCTTCATGAGCCGCTACAACAAGGATCAGTTGATCTTATCGAGGAAAGCACTTCGACTTCTAATATGGCAAAAGAAAGCGATACAACCACAAAAGAAGTTGCTGATCAGAATACAGTTGATAATCAAGTAGGCAGCGTCGCCGAACGGCAATCAATTTCTGAATTAAAGCAAGAGAAGTTTGTGGCTGCTGAAGCTCAGCAAATGGACATTACTGCAAATTTAGAGAAGGTTGAGCGTGCTGGCAGTCCATCACTCCTTGTGGAACCCGAAATTGAATCTTCCGAGTTAAGAAACGCAACGCCTACTTTGAGAGAACATCAGACCAACCCAACCGAGATTGTACCCAAGGATTTGCTTGCTGAAGTTAAGGAAAATGATCATATGGAAGCTGGTGTAGTGGAACAAGCTACGACTAGAGCAGACTCCACAAATGTTGAGACCGAACAGCCTCCGGGCTTGGAAAATTCTATAAGACGAAACTGTGCTTCTGAACCTGCTGAAAGCGAAAAGCAACTGAAGGAAATGCTGGAATTAGCAGATGAAAAGGTAAAAGCAGACAAGACTAAGAGTTCGTTAGATATTGCTGAAAGTCATGAGCATTTAGAAGAAAAACAGGATGATAAAGCAATCGAAACTGAAACAGAAAACAAATTGAAACTGCGCGAAAGAAAATCAATGGGTACAGAGGCAAACATTACAGAAACTGTAGATCATATCGAAATGAGCTCTGAAGAACCAAGCGCCCGTCATAAATCAAAACGTCGTGGCAGAAAAGCAACAGTGGAAAGTGATGAAAAAGAATTAGAAGACATTGCGAAAGCAACTATTACGCATTTAGAGACACCTGAACATCGCTCGAAAACAAATCGTCGTGGAAGAAAGCCAACAGTCGAGGCACACGATAAAGAATCAGAGAAGAATGTGGAACAGCCAATTGAGGAAGAAAGTGAAAAAGAAAAGCTGATAGAATCAAGTCATCCAACTAGGTCAACACGTCGTGCAAGAAAATCACTTGATGTTGAGAAAAGCAAGCCACAGGATACAATCGGAGAAGAACCCATCGATCCCGCAGAAATCAAATCTGAAGAGCAAAACGAACTACACAAGCAAAAGCGACGAGGAAACAAAGATACTGGGAAAATTGCATCAGTTGCTGAAGTGAAAACAGAAGAGTCAACTGTGGAAACTGTCACGTCCGAAGAAATTACCGATACAACCAATGTAAATCCGTGTAGAAAGTCAGTTGACACTGAGGAAAACACTCTCAACATAATCCCAAAGGAAACTGAAGGTCATACAGAAAACAAGTCTAAAGAACAAAGCGATCAGCCTAAACTGAAACGTCGGCAAAGGAAAGCAACAGTAGATCATTCCACGCCAGAGAAACAAATCGAAGAAACAGATGATAAAGATTGTGAAACACACGATAAACCAAAACGAAAACGAGGAAGAAAAGCTACAGAAGATGAGGCTAATGAGCATGGAGAGAAAAAAGCGGAAGAAGAAAATTTAGTGAAAGCGTCAGACGTGCACAAACCTCGAGCAAAACGCGGACAAAAGAATATGACAACAGAACTTGAATCAAAAAAGACGCCAGAACTAGAGAAACTGGTTGAAGACACAATCGAATTGGACAGCCCCATAAAAGAAATAGCGGAGACGGAAACAGACACAGATAAACCAAAGCAACGTGGACGTAAGCCATCCTCTGAAGTTATTGCAGTTGAAGTCTTTGAGCCCGTGAAGTCCAATGAGGAGCCCATCAAAGAGAAGTCAAAACGGCGAGGTCGCAAAGCATCTACAGATCAAACACATGAACTGCCCGAGCGCAAAATGACGCGAAAAACTCGAAAAGCTTCGGCGGAACCTGTGGAGCAACAAGCGCCGACCAAGGAAACCATCGACATTATTGAAGAAGCAGAAGAACCATTGTCGAATATTGAGAGTGTGCAAGAACCAGCAGGTTCGGCCTCGATGACACACATTGTCAGAAGACGCAGTCAGTCTATTGATGCAGCGCAATTTGCACCACAAGAATTGGTTTTGGCATCGGGCTCGCGACGTGGACGCAAAGCCACAACCGATGCGGACACGCCACAAGAGTTGGTTGTGGCTTCGGGCTCGCGACGTGGACGCAAAGCCACAACCGATGCAGACACGCCAACTGATCCCGTTGAGCTGAAGCCAAAACGACGTGGCCGCAAAGGATCTGCCGATGAAACCCACGCGGACGACACAGAGCCAGCAAAAAAAGTAGCAAAGCGTGGTCGCAATCTCAGCGCCGATGTGGTACACCATTTTTCAGATGCAACGGAACCTGATGTGGAGAAGAAGACAACACGAAGAAATCGCAAGGCTTCAGTTCATGTAGATACGCCTGGAGCGGAAAGGCCAACGTTGGCCAAGAAGGCAGCCGTACGACGTGGACGCAAAGCTTCAGCGGTTGAAGAACAGCTGGAGCTACCCCCGGAACTGCCTGACTCGTCTGCAGTTCTTGTGTCTGCATCGCCAATGCCACAGCCGCCCAGCTCAGAGGATGAACTGACCCCGCGACGTCGTGAAGGACGCAATTTACCCCGCAAAAATTATGATGAAACATCGGATGAGGATAAGCATGGCTCCACGTCGTCGCCGCGTCGAGCACGCAAGCCAATAGCCAGCAAAACGACCAGTAAATCACCTGGCAGCGAGACACCACCCACGACAAAGCCCACCACACCGACCACAAACGCCAAACAAAACGTGATTGTCGAGTCAACTGTGGAGCTTGTGGCTCCTCAAACGCCATCTGGACCAGCTGTGGTACTACCAGAGCCCACAAGTTCGCAGCGGCGTGAAGGACGCAATGTGCCACGCAAGAACTATAATGAGACATCGGACGATGACAAGCCAGGCACTTCACGTAGCCGTCGTATTCGACAGCCAACGGTCAAGGCACTGGAGCTATTAGTCGATACAGCAGCAGCTGTGCAACGTCCTGCCACGCCCAGGCGGCGCAAGGCCAAAGATGACAGCGAACAGCCGCCAGAGAAGAAGGCCCCAACGGAACAAGCAACGCCCGTGGCGGCCCCCAAATCGCGTGCTCGTCGTAAGGCGGCTGATCCAGTTGAAGCACCAGAAATTGTGTCCGTTGCGACGAAAGGGGGCAAACGTATGCTACGCAACCGCACAGAGAGTTCCACCAGTAATCAGCACGAAGATGTGGAACAGGAGCCGGTTCCGGAACCGGAGCCCAAGCCCAAGCAGGCAGCCAAACGCAATGCACGCGGCAAAGGTAAAACTGCAGCAGCAGAGGAAGAAGCGACAGATGAGCTTCCAGCTGCCAAAAAGGCGCGGGGAAAAACAGTCACAATCACGCATGTGGATCTGGTGCCAACAGAAGAGCCGGCCACTAAGCGAGCGCCTGTTGCGCGTGGACGTGCCGCACGTACCGCTAAACAGGTCGAGCATAGTGTGGATAGTGCGTCTGAGACGACAACGCCAGCACGCGCAGGACGCGGTCGCAAGGTGCACTTCGAGACGACGGAGGAGCCAGTAGCCGCAACAGCACAGGCAGAGGCGCCCACACGTTCGACACGGTCTCGCCGCAAATGAATTCCATTACCTTCAATTTTTTAAAGTTTAAACTTTTTTATGTTTATTGTTTATGCCTCCTGTGTACAAAAAAGGTTTACAGCATGGTAATAAATGTGACTACGTATTGTTAATTTTTAAGTTTAAAAAATAAATAATTAAAAAATAAAAATCAGAAAGTTGTCAGAGAGGGAGAGTTGGAGCTCAAGCATGCATACATAATGAATACATACTTTAACAAAACTTTATTTCTAGATATACAATAAATACACAATGCATATGAATACTTATATATATATATATACATAAACACATAGCTTAACTTGTAAGAATTCTCAACAAAATAAAATAACTAATAAAGAAAATTTCAAAATATTTTAAATTTGTTTTGATATATGGTAAAAGTACAATTTTTATAGGACACACATGTTTCTCTTGATTCAATCTAAAGCACATTTCAATATGGAAACTTCGATTTTTATAGTTTACCAACCATCCACAGAACGGGTTTTACAAATTGGATGCTTATGGAAAGCTCCTCTGGCCATAAAGCGAATCGTCATAATCGTAGCGCTTGTCCTTCTATAGCTAAAAAAACTTCATCTTCAGAAAATAGCAAATTATTCAGAAACTTAATAACTAAAAATTGTAGATTAAAAACAAATGATTTCACTTTCGTTTATTTGACTCTTAAAAGTATCCTTCGCATATACGCATATACATATTAGACCCTTCATATCATTATAAAATAGTTTGCTTTTTGGTATAATAGTATAACTAATTCGTTCAGACATCAAAGGTTTTTTGTATAATTTAAGTATTTTGGATTGTGTCATTCAAAACAACAGGCATAGCTATATTTTTTGTTTGAGTTCTACATAACAAGGGACTACAAAATATTAGTATAATTGAGTATAAAAGCTGCCCATAAAGGCCACACATATATTATTTAAATAGTACATAAATCGTAAAAAAAAAAACTTTCGCTTGAGAACATTTTGTGGCAGAGTTTTGTTTTGTTTTTAGATATCTGCATGAAATTTGTGCCAGTTGATAAAGCTTGGGGAATTTACGTATAGTTGTATATAAAAATATATATAACAAGAAATAGCATAAATAAATATTCCATATAATAAAAATAATAAATAATAATTAAGGACGTATGGAAAACTTATCGTAAATAGCATCTACGCACAAAAAACTTAGCATAAAATAAATGTATGCATGTATACAAAAAAATAGAGTATAAGGTATAGCTTCGTTTTCACTGGATAATACTTTCAAAAGTTTTCAAGCAATAAAAAAAAGAACTTCAATTAGCGAATCAGCGCACTACAAATTAAACCATTAATTTACAAACTGTGCAGAGTCTATGCTAAAAATAAATGTAAATGCAAATGATTTGTGTGTGTTTTGTGCGCGCATGTTTTTTGCTTTCAACTTCAGATTTGATTTGCTTCGTTTTTTATTTTCTAGGCTTTCATCAAGAGATGCGGTTCGGAGCGCAAAGAGTCCGTGAGGTATTGTGTTTTCATTGTCTTCTGAAAATAGCGCTTCTCGTTGGGCGAATTAACCATGTACACAATTGGACGTACGCCCACATTGCGCCACAGATCGCCTATGTGTCTGCAACAAATGTAAATGTTAAGTAATTGAAATATATGTATATATTTTCAGTTCAATTGTGGGTCAAATTTAATTTGACTTGCTCAACTAACGGTTAAGCTTTGTGACTGATCAATGTTTCCGTGCTGCCACCTAGTATGAAAGACAATTGAGAGCTAAAGATGAGCTTTGCAAAACTATCGAAATTCAGTATTGGGGCGTTGCCAAATATTTAAGCTAACGGTTCATTGAGCAAGGGCAAATCAAATTAGCTTTTGTTTGAATAACTTACAAATTGAACTCTTCCTTGTTGAGAAAAACAACACTAATGCCAATTACAGGCGCAATTATATTTCGCAAAATTGCACCGTAAATTGAGGTAATAAGCGTTGACGATTTGAGGATGGACAGCGATAAATAGCTCTCGTGCCAAAGACCGCAAATTATTTCCGGCCTCAATTTACGCAGCTGCAAAACGTAAAATATTAGTCATTGTATAAATATATTTAAGAATATAATAAACACTGTAAGGCTCCCACGAGTGCTCATTATATTAAGTTTTCACTAAGTATTTATTCTGCACACCTGATAAATGGCCAAGGGCGATCGACTGATCACAACGGTTCTCTGTGTAAACGTCTCATTTGCAGCCATAAACTTTTGCAGCTGATCAATCATAAGTGCACTGGTGTCCTGCAAATGCAGGAATAAGGTGGGCGGTATGTTCTGCTCCTCCAGAAAGTCCGCCAATTGCTTCAACGTGGCCACCGACTCCCTATCATACTGCGAGCTAAAATGAGAGGAAGACAGTTTCAGCAGAGCTTTAAGTTGAATATGTATTAAGGTTTACCCCAGAGGATGCTGCTCCGTAATGCTCAGCTGCTGCAGCTCATGGAGTGTGTGATGTGATAGGTTGCCCGTGAGGCCGGCTCGCTCCACAGTCAGCCGATTGGCAATAACTATTTCGCTGCAGGCCGTAATGCCGGCATCCAGCAGGACATTACGATAACCACGTGCCAGACACTGGAAAGGCAAATGGGGTTGGTTTGCTATTGATTTTTGATTGCCGAACAACCACCGTCTGCTACAGCTGATGACGTCACAAAACACACTCACTCACCTTTTTGACAGCTGCCTGCGAATTCTCGGGCGCATCGTAGCCGGCGCCCCGGTTCGCAATGGGCCAGTAATTGGGCCAGTCGTTCGGCGTGTTGAGCAAACTCAGCAAACGCTTCTCATTTGGGCTGCGCTGCAGCTTCACAAACTTCGATGCCACGCAAATAGCCACCAGGGTCAGAGTGCACCACGGAATGGCCAAATTGCAGAAGAACCAAAGCACATTGAAGCAGAAGAAGACCAGACTTATAGTGCAGCAAAATAGTTTGTAGATCATTTTCAGGCACAGCCAGCCCCAACGCCACCACATTCACCACAAGACTGCTGCTAAACACACAAATTGTTGTTGTTTTGGTTTATTTATAAACACCTTTTACTTTTTTGTTAGTTTGCATTTACCCCAATAAGAAATGCGCGCCGCCAACCAAGTCCCACTTGCCACTCCCACTCTGCTGCTTTTCGCTTGTGCCTTAAGTTTTCGTTGTCTGTCGTCGCTGTATTGTATTTGCCTTTTCGAGTCGTTGGTTTCAGCACCGATTTTAATCGCAATTAATCTAGTTAATATAGTCTTAATTAAATCGTCGGTTAATCACAAACGCAGCCAAAACGATGTGTGCACAAATTTTCCAATAAGAAGTGGATGTAGGGATGTGCCAGATGCTAACAAGCGTAACGCGCAACTATCGATAACAGCGATAGAGTAGCGCGCATTTCGAAAGTGAGTACTTAAGCAAAATGAAGAAAAACTTTGCAAATGAAAACAATTTAATAAATCTGAACTATTAATTTATTTAATTAGAAGCCAAAATACATTGCAATTCACAGTTTTGTCAGCAAGCGCACCCATCCTCTGATCGATGGATGTGAGAGACGCGTATACACACCCGGGTAGAACGGATCTAAATCCAATATAGTGAGTACAAAGTGATATGATATATGGTGAATTAAAAACCCACCTGCGCAGCCCACGCCCCACGACACGATGCCGATAAGCGTGCCCTTAGCTGTAAGTGGACCACCGCTGTCGCCTATTCAGAAACAAAATCATTAGTGTTATCAAGCAATTATTTAAGGTAAAGTGGTTCAACTTAATTACTCACCCTGACAAGCATCCGTGTTACGTGCTGAGGCGCAGAACATGCTGCCAAAACAAGAGACACAATATGATATTAATTGGATATTGGGAGAAGCATATCTATCTCTCTCTCTCTCTCTCTCTCTCTCTCTCACTCTCACTCATTTCGCTTTACTTACGCCTCAGTAACTCCGCCGTGATATCTCAAATCGTTGTGACATTTTTCCTGATTAACCGTCCGCACTGTCGCGTACTTGAGCACAGATGATAGAACAGATTCACCGCTGCTCATGTAACCCCAACCGGACACAACTGCCATCTGATTCTCCTCAATCGCTGCCCCAGCCTCGGGCAGCGGAATGGGCGAGACATTTGGATCTAGGGTCAAGGCGCCCAGCTGTGTGCGCAGCAGTGCCACATCGAAGTTCATGTCCATGGAATCGTACGAAGGATGCTTGTAGATCGTTCTCACACTCATCAGGCTGCCGCCGCTGGATCGCTTCACGCTGCCCAGTCGCAGGGTAAACTCCTGCGGCTGCTTCTCGTGGCCATCGATGCAGTGGGCGGCAGTGATGGCCCAGCTGCCATCCAAGACAGAGGCGCCACAGATGTGAATGGTGAGGCGGCGCAGCGACAGCTGATAGGGAAACTCGCCTTCATTTGCCTCCCTTCCGTTAACGATTCGTCCATCCGGACGACGAAGCGGTGCCGCCGCCTCACAGATCTTCCAAGAGATCGCAAATATAAGCGTTAGAAGTGGAGCTAGGTTCCGCATGGCTTTGCTGACTCAACGTAACTGAACTGCCAGCTGTTTGCCAAGCAGCGAAAAAATCGTTGATCAAACCATTGTGGGAGTTGCACTTTATCAATACTCTTTGTTATCTCAGCTCTTGTACTTTGTTTCAGCCAGACTATAATTAACAATTGTCAATAGGTGTCTTGTTTAGCTCTTATTGTTTTACTCTTTCCTTTTGCTTCTTTTTTTTGGTGATTATTATTGTTGTTTAGTAACAACGACAATGAACTTCCTTTGCCATCGGAAAACTCCCCGCATTGCTTAATCACAGTGATCTCGTTAAGCAATTAAGAGAATTCTACTATGAACACCTTCTATAACATGTATGCGAAAATTATCATAGTGTTTCCTGAAATCATATTAATAATATTTACATATTATTAATATATTTCAATATTATCATTTACAATTGAACATTTCAACCTTAACCGTCAAAATATTCGATTACTTTCTGCTCAGCTGTTTCGAAGCATCGATATAACGCATAACAGTCGATAATTTATACATCTTTCACAAATGTCTTGCTCTTTTTAATGATGGCATAATGCGGTCACACTGACCAGCAGTCTCGCGCTTAGTCTTGCCCAACAGTGACGCTTGTTGTGGGCACGCTGCGCGTTTTCGATTGATTAAGCGTAATGTTTACATTTAAATAACATTAAACACTCTAGTAATGCCGCTTATTTAACGGTAATTTTTACACAACATTAACATTTATAGTTAATCGAAAATCACTAAGTCTGGTTTTACGTCTGTGTCGGTGTGTTGGTGTAAGGATTATGCGATGCACGTTCATAATTGCGAGTGTGTTTAAAATGAAATATAATGCAAGAGTTTATTAACAAGAAGTGACTAAAACAAGTGCAGGACTATACCAAAAGGTGCGTACAATCGGCAGGTCACAAGAATCAATAGTATTTTCATCCTAAAAACACAGACACAATAACACACGCGCACACACACACGCACACATTCAAATTCAACCCTCTGTTTATTATAATCCCAACAAAAAAAATATAAGAAACCGGATTCAAGTTTAGTTGAGCGGCAACACAAACTCACCAGACGAAAGACAACTAAATTTGTATTTTTTGCTTGACTTAAATCAAATTATCAAAATTGCTCTGTGTGCTTGTGTCTGTTTGCGTGCGCGTGTGTGTACTTGCGTTCAATTACCGTTACAACGCACCTGCCGCTAAGCGTCAAGGTTGTCTATCACTTTCCCTCCACCACCACCGTTACTATCACCAATTTTATTGGAACCAAAAAAAAAAATCACCCAGACAGTCTGGCCACACCACAATATTTGCATCTCCTTTTTGCATTGCCTGCTGCTGTTGCTGCTGCTGCCGCTCTTACAAATTGTTACAAAATTGCTGCGGCTTTAATTTATGCAGCAGCCGCTGCCGTCGCGACAGCTCATCTTTATTTAGCTTTCTTGCTTACTCACTCGCATTCACATTCATTCATTCAGTTTTCTTATGCTTCACTTCAATTCTCAACAATTCTTTGCATGCATCTCGTATCTGGCTTTATTGTATAATTCAATTTAAATTGATTTTCTGCTGCTGCTTTTTATTTTTAAAATCATTCTTCTTTTTGCAACGCTTTGTACTTTCCCTTTGTCTTACGTGCTTTTTACGCATACAAATACATTCCCTTTTCTTTGCTTTCTTTGACCCTTTTTCACACGCTATTGGCAACGCGCCGTCTTCGCTGTCGTCGGCGATCCCAAGCGGCTCTATTAGCAACTGCACATTTATTTGTGCTCTTAAACTCTGTTGCCCATTTTAAATCTTACTTTGGCTAGGCTATTCTTGTTGTTGTTGTTATTGTTATTGCCTTTTGTAGGTTATTCGTTTGATGTTTTTGTAATTTCCGTCCCAATTGGTATAATATAATGGCATAAGTATATAAGCATATGTATGTAAACATATGTATGTAAGCATTTGTATATACACATATTTTAGTTCGCATTGGGCAAAGTAAAAGATAAGTAAATGTATTTTAGCAAACTTCCGTGAGAATTCCTTAAAATGTTATCAGCTGTTGTTGTTGTGACTCGTTTTGATCTTTTTGTAATGGGCATACTAATTGGTATAGAATCATATAGATGTAAGCGTTTGTACATAAACATATCTTGGCATTGGCATAAGTAAATAGGTAAAAAAATATAGTTTTACTTTTACAAACTTCGGTGAAAATTACTTAACATATTAACTATTGTTGTGGCCGTTTGACCTTTTTGTTAAGGGTATACTAATTGGTATATAAACATATGTATATAAACATATGTATATAGGTATATTTATATAAGAAATTTTATATAAGCATATGAATATAAATATATGTATATACACATTTGTATATAAGCATGTGTATATAAACACAAATAGGTTCGCATTGGGCAAAGTAAAAGATAAGTAAATATGTTTTGGCAAAGTAATATTTATTTACATTTACACACTTCGGTGAGAATTACTTAAAATGTTCTCAGCTATTGTTGTTGTGACTGTCTTTGCTGTTTGGCCGTCTGTAAATGTATATTAGCAAAGTAATATTTCCAAATTGTTATCAGCTTCAAGCAATTAGAGCGTTACCGGAAACAAACATTACTCGACGACTTAGTTTGTTTCCACAACTAATTTGAATAGTTTTAATGTATGCAGTAAATGTTATTGACTGCAGTTAAGCCACAAACGCAAATCAAATCGCTGTTCACTTAAATTGTCATTTATACAAAACAATCAATTAAAAGTGATTCAGTGGAGTCTGCTCGGCTAGCGAATACCGTATGCTCGGCTCTAATCTCGATTGTTTTTGCTTCACCTGACTTTATAATTTATAACCTGAATAAAATTAAAAATTCAAACATTTTTCAGAGTGAGTAGAGATAGGAATCCAGTACACCCGAATGGGTCTGTGCTTAATAATAGAGCATCATTTAACAACTTTTGCCAATGACACGCTAAAAATGTTGTAAAAAAGCTTTAAAAACATTATTGTTATTAGCGAACTGTGACTTAACGATTTGGTTACCAACACGCTAATCTAGCGTACAGTAATAATAGTGAAACACGCAAAAATTTTAAATACTTTTTACTGAATTAAATTGTTGGATCAGTATGATAAAATTTAAAATAAAAAAAAGAAAATTTTTTTAGTATATTTCAAATAATAAATGAAAAAAGTTTTGGAAAATAAACCACTTTTTCAATGTGTGAGGAATGAAGAACTTCTTAAAATACTTTCGGGATTTCTTCTTCAGATTAATTAATATATTTTTATTTTTTTTAATTTTATCTTTAGTTATGTTTTCTTAAATTCTTAAATTTAAATTTTAAATTCTTACTCAAGAGACAAGTTGACAAATAGCCAGAATTGGTATCTGCTTTAGCCTGACTGGAAATCTTTCGTATGAAGCTGAAGTCTAATTATCCAAAATGTCCAGCTCATACATTTTTCAGTTTGTCATCAAAAAATTTGTTTTACTGAAAGATAAAGACAAATAGATACGCTGAATAACGGAATTAAGCACAAAATGAAAAGTAATAAATAAATATTTATTCGAGTTTACCTTAAAGCATCCAGCATTATTGTAATAATAATTTATTTTTGCATGAATCAGCAGAAATGTAAAAGAAAATACCCTTTTAATGCTAAGGTAAAAGAAAAAGCTGATAAATATTATTTCCTTACGGCCATTGAGTTTCGCTTTTGGGTGGTATTACACTTATCGCGGCCGGACTGAAGAAGAAGCCAAACCCATTTAGTGGACACAAAGCAGTCCAAAACTTGCAATGCGAACAAAAGTGCAACAGTTAAAATGGCAATATAAAGAACAACAACGATGACAATGACAACGACTGATGGGCAATGTCACCAACAGTCGGAGGAGAAAGAACTTATTATTATCTGTGGTAACTCGACTATCAAATACCCTTACTACATATAGGCGCTTTCCGCATGCCTTTTATCTGTGACTTATCAGGTTCGAAATACCTTTTTAGATAGAAACCTATCCTTTTTAACATAACATAAAATATAAAATGAAAAGATTTTAATACTTTAATTGATTTCATTAGTCAATGATTGGTGTGAATGAGATTTGTTTCATTCTAAAACTAGGTCTCAGCTTGCTTCTAAGCTATAATAACCAATATTGAGGGTATATAAACAATAACAAACCGCAAAAAAGCACCAACAAAGCAACAAAGCAAATAAAACGAGATTTCAATGCAGGAATTTTCATTTCCATTACAAATGCTGTGGTCGATGTTGTTGTTGTTGTTGCTGTTGTTGTTGTCGTTGTTGCTTGGTTGGTTTTTGTCAACTGCTGGCGATGCGGCTACCGGTTGCGGCTATATTGGGGATTGGTATGGGCCATGCCAAAAAGAGAGAGGAGAAGAAGCGGCGGCGGTGCAGGGGGAAATCCCCTCGTTGACTATGGGAACAGAAAGTGGCAAACGCTGCAATTTGACAAACGTTGCACGCACTTCGAGTGCTCGAGTGCCTAACTGACTGACGGTCGACTGACTGGCTCTTTTCTACCGTTACGTTTTAGTTGAGTGCAGCTCAGCTGGTACTTCTGCAACTGGCCCGAAGTGTATTGCCAACTGGGGACGAAACTGTGAAGGGGAACGCTAACGTGAACGGGGACAGTGACCGACTGTCGACTCTCGATTGCCGACTGCAGTGCAATTGACCTGCAAGTCAAGTGAAAAGTCCTGCCACAGCAAAGTTACCCTGTTTATAAATTGACAAAGACTATATTCGCTTTGTATACAGGCCTCACTGGCTCTGGCACGCTAATGATTATTCCACTCTATTTACATGGCAAAGGACATTCTGGTAACACTCTGCGACTCTACAGTCAAATTTACTTATATAGAACATTCATTTGTATAGCAGTTGCTCCACTTCAGTAAAGTCAAGAGGGCATTTGAAAGCCGGCAAAGCGTAAAATGAATCTTTTTTGATTTGATTTCAGCTTTCAAATAATTTAACGAGCATTGGGCAGTCGATTGCAGCCGACTGCAATATTGTTACTTCTTGCATTTCTTATGTGTTTGTGCCGACTTTTGGTACTTGGCCGTCAGCTGCTCAAAAGCCCATTTTTGCACCAAACACTAAAAACAGCTTTTCAAAAGAATGCCGTTTGGAAGGCAGCGACCAATTGCCGGGCATTGATGTGCTCCAGTTGTTGCTCACCAAAAAATCAATTCATCAATTTTTGTAAGGAGCAAATAAAGCAATGTTTGCACTTTTAGATAAATATTTATAGTGGTCCAGCTCATCAAAATGACATTTATTTGAAAAAAAAATAATACAAAAGTAAAAGGAAATATAAAAGAATTAACAGAGCTGCAGTCGGATGTGACCGACTGCGTAATGCCCTTTAACGATCCGGACAGCAATTAGATTTGTGCCTAAATCAATATCTTTACATGGGCCACGTCACATTGGACGTAGCAAATATTGAATTAATAATCTGTGAGGTACTCAACCTCAAAATTTTATTTATTATTAAATAATATTAAATATTTTTTGGTCACTCTAAAGAGGCGGTCAGCAGCAACTTAAATGTGAAATTTAAGGACTTTTCCAGCCGCTACTTGACCCCAAGAGTGGCTAAATGAAAGTGGTCATCAGCTGCTCAGATGTACGACTGCAGTAAAAATAGTTATCCATGTCCCCAATGATTGTAGAAATGTATAGTTGATATATATTATTAGTTGGAAGTGTGCATTCTTGAACATATAAAAGTTATATCAAATAATACTTTTATGAATTTCTAATTATCTTTTAGTGATTTCTTCATCTTGTGTTTGCATGTCACTCCGTCAAAAACTTCAGCGTGCAGGGCACTGAAATGTTCGTC